ATTTTTATTACATTCTCATTCTTTGAAAAATGGTAGTGTATGTATGAAGTATTTCTTAACCTGGTGTTAACCAGAATATTAATCAATACTTAAAAAAATTTAATTTAAGCTAGTCAACTGGAAAGTCAAATACTGAAGCTGAAGCTTAAATACTTTGGCCACATAATGAGAAGATGGGGCTCATTGGAAAAGTCTCTGATGTTGGGAAAGATTGAAGGCAAAAGGAAAAGGTGATGGCAGAAGATGAGATGGATAGGTACTGTCATGGAAACAACAAACATGAACTTGGACAATTTTTGAGAGGTAATGAAGGATAGAAGAGCTTGGTATGCTGTAGTCCATGGGGTTATGAAGAGTTGGGCATGAATGAGTAATGGCAACAAACCAGAATATTACATTATCCTGAACAATTCCTTAACTATTTCACATATTTCACTATTAGTGCATGTCAAGAGTTGGCAACAGATTCATCATCAGCCCTGTAACTACTGCTCTGAATGTACCACAAGGCTTTGTTGCTGAACTTTTTCTCTTTTCTCTCTACACTCTCTAATTTGGTCACCTCATCTTTAGGAGGGTGAAGAAGTGTGTATGTGAGAGACATCCATTTATAGGACTTCTTTAAAGGTTATTTATTAGGAAATCAGAAGGTTACGTTGAATTCCGTAGTCAAATCTTGGCTGTTCAGCTACTCTCTTGGCTAATGAGTTATAGACCAATTTCCACACTTCAGTAAACACGCATTATTTAAGCACTTACAGTGTACATATACAAGGCCACTATAGACCGATATCCTTGAGAACAGGGACAGTCTTTTCCTTGGATTTTTATCTCCAGCACTTAGCACAGATCCTGACACAAAGTAGGTGGTTAATAAAGAGACAGTTTAGATGAAATAATTCCTGCCTTCGTGATGCTCACTGTCTATGAGGGCATTCAGACTCAAAGGTAGATAACTCAGATACACTATATGTCTACCAGACAGGTACAAAACAGCCGTGTGAAGTTTGAACATAAGCTTTACTGACCAGAACGCATTAGGGAAGGATTCATGAAGGTGAGAGATGTTAGAGGTAGAAATGTAAAATGTTGCCATTTTCCAGTTGGCTTTTAAAACTATGTAAGGCTGTTCCTGTGGTCATTGTAATGTCTTACCCCTTCCTACCTTCCATATATATTTCACAATCCAGTGACACTGTCCTCTTTGTTACACCTTAATGTCCAGATTCTTTATTTTCATTGATTATATCCCCTACCTGGAATTCTTTCCATCCTCATCTCCATGTGGCTTTCTTGGAGTCTCAACTAAAATCTCACCTCCTGCATGAACCCGTTCTTGGTGTCTTTAATAGTAGTGCCTTTCTTCTGTAGTTACCTTCAGTTTATGTTGCATATATCTTGATTATGCATAGTTGTTTTCATGTTGTCGTTCCCATTAGATTTTAAGCTACTTGAGGGCAAGGAATGTTTTTTCATTGTATCAAAAGCATTTAAAACAGTACCTGTTGTATAGTGGGTGCTTAATAAATGCTTGTTGATTTGACTGATAGGGAGAATGAGCCCTCAAGGATAATACCAAGATTTCAGACTGAAAGATGGTAGTACACTTATTTTGTGTGTGTGTGTATAAATCAGTAGAGTGGTCAGTCTAGGGGAGAGCAAATGATTTCTGTTTTGGACATACTGAGTTTGAGATTACTGCAGTACATCTAGTACATATGTCCAAGAAATGATTAGTGATATGGAACAGGAGCTCAGAGAGATTAAGATTTACAGTTCTCTGCATAGAGATCAATAATTGAAATCATTGGAAAAGTTGAGGTGACCAAGTAAGAGAGTATAGAGAGAAAAGGCTCCAGGACAAAGCCTTGTGGTACATTCATAGTTAGTGGTTGTGACAGGGCTGATGATGCATCTTGTTGCCAACTCTTGACATTTCTTCCTTCACAATCTACCTTTTATATGTTCCCTTCTCTCCATTTAACATAGCTGCTTCCTTCATCACTTCATACTTGGACTACTGCAGTTACCTGCTGCTTGGCCTCCCTACCTCAGATCTCTGTTCTCTGGTTCATTCTCCACCCAGCTACCAAAGCTATCTCCCTAAGGGGCAGATCTGACCTTTCTCCCATCAGCAAACTCCACTGGCTCCCCATTCATTACCTGCAGGATATAAAATAATATCCTTTGGTTGACTTTTAAAGTTCTTCACAACCTGATCCCTTCCTACTTTCTCTTGACTCCTCTGTATACTCTTTTATCTGGTATCATCGGCCTTCTTACTGTTCCTTCCGTACATAGCTTTTATCTCCCAACTCTCTACATTTTTCACTGACTTTTTCCTGTGTCTGAAAAGGTCTTTCTTCTGCCTCTTGGTTTCCCTAAGCTTTCTTCAGTTTCAGATTTCAGTTCAGCTGCCACCTCCATCTCTCACTGGAAGTCTTTCCCAACCCCTCTTAATTTGAGTGCCTTTCCTTTGTTAATTATTTCCTACTTAACCTGCATGTAGCTCTCAGTGTATTTCTTTGCATGTTGTTCTCCCTCCCACCCACCCCCCCATTAGATTAGAAGCTCCTTGAGAGCAGTGACTGCCTTTTGGCTCTTTTTGTATCCACAATGCTTAGCGACTGCCTTTTGGCTCTTTTTGTATCCACAATGCTTAGCACATAGTAGGTGCTTAACAAATCTTTGATTGATTGATTGCAAGAGACTGTTCTTCTCTAATGCTAGTGCTTCTCTGAGATTACCATCCATTTAAACTGTATGTATCCTGTTTATACATAGTCATTTGCATATTGACTTTCACATCAGAATGTAAACTTTTTGAGGACAGGGATGTCTAAAAATTTTTCTTTCCTTTCTATTCTAAGCATTTAGCACAGTGTCTGGTACTTAGTAAACACTTAAAGAATGCTTGAGAAGAGATTGAGAAAGATCAGTTAGGTAGGAAGAAAATCAAGAGAGAGCAGTGTCATGAAAACCTAAAGGAGAGAGTGGTCAGCAGTGTACAGTGTTGTAGAGAAGTCAGGAATAAAAGGCTGTTAGATTAGGCAATTAAAAGATCATTAATAACTTTTGAGACCAATTTCAATTGAGTGATGAAGCCAGATTACACAGGGTTTTTGTAGATGACTTTTTAGGAATTAGGTTGTTGTAGGGAGGAGATATATTGAATGAAAGCTAGGGGGAATGATAGGATCTTGGAGGGTTTTTTTGTTTGTTTTTGTTTTTGGGCTAGTCTTGGGGATGTTTGTAGCCAGCACACGAGGAACCTGTAATCAGAGAAAGATTGAAGGTCAGAGAAAGGGTGGATGGTTGTTGGTACATTCTACTAGAAAGAAAAGATATGTTTAAAAGATTTAGCCTAATTCAGGCAAATCATATAGTACATTAAGACAAGTTTGAATTTGAATCTTTTATCCGGAGACTTTGTAGCAGTATGATTTTAGTGATTTGATATCATAAATAGTTTTTGTATAATCTTCCTATCATAGAAGAGTTGTGAGAAATAATTTTGTGAGAACTACAGGTCAGATACCCACAGATGAATATCTTATCTCAAGCATTATATTCTTCATTCTTTTGGAAAAAAGCCAAAATATTTGACATTTTCCAGTTTTTTTTTAAGAAGACAAAAATTTGAGATGAAAAACCACAGTGCCTTTCCACTCTCCCTCCAATACCTATGATCCTCTGAGCATATAAATCATATTTTTCTGTTATGGTGTTTTTGTGTTTCTCATTGCCTGTGCAGGGTAACAGTGACATAGATACTTTTTTGAGGGATGGAGGTCCTTTGGAATATTCCTGTGTGATCTAGGAATTCACACCTCTTTAAACCAAAGATAGAAGTCACACCGGAAGATGTCTCTAAAAGAGGTCAAAAGCCATCTAGTTTCCCTATGCTCATCTGTTCTTCAATTCATACTCCAGATAAATCATATCACCTACAATACTGATTTTGGTTCAAGGGTGGGGGGTGAAGGGGACCCAACAACCTGAGCAAATTTTTGTCTTTTTAAACTTGGTTTTCTGACATAATATTTGGGATCTTTAATAGGAATGTTTTGGTTCATACTCCTTTTCTTTTGACTTATGATAGGTGTAAAGCTAAAATAGAAAGATATAATTGATCATAGATATAAGTAAGTAGATTGGGGGTAATGTCAATGAGAAAGGACTTGGGATAAAGACATAATGTTGCTTATTGAGAATGACCAATACATTCTGTCACACTCTTTCCTTTGAAACAGATTGTGGATATTCTTGTCCTCTTTAAATAATTTTTTCTCAGTTAAAATTATAATCTAACTAAGATATTCTAATCACACATGATTTTTCTATTTTGTACAGTATTTTTCTGTGTCAAATGGTAATAAAATTATTGAGATACAAGGACAGGAAGTGGTGCTTTGATTTCATTGGTATAGGGGAATCCTAGGGAGGAAACTCCCTTTTCTGCAACTTACAGTCTTAGAGCACTGAGAGGCTAAGTGACTTGCTTAGAGTCACAATATGTCAGAAACTTGAACCTAGATCTTACTGGCTTCAAGGGCAGTTCTCCATTCACCAAGTTACACTATCCCTTGATGATACTGTAAAAGTCAGTATGTAATATGTGATCTTCTGTCCACTGATTTTTTTAAATAACCTTTTCAATTTTAATTTATTATTTCTTCATGTATTGCTCATTTTTCTTATTCTTTATGGTTCAGCACTATATTAAGCAAAACTAATATTTAGTAATGTTTTTCTTAAAAGTTGATGAAGTGATTTTCTTCATTTCTTTGAGAGCATGCTTGTGAATTTTAAGAAACAATCATAGCATCATTCATAACGATTCCTTCATCATTTGACATTTATTATTTGACATTTTGTTATTGTCGGTTTTACTGTAGCTTTGATATATTCTTACATGTATGATGAAAATATTTTAAAATTTGATGTTTGTTAAATGTTTATATATTCATGTGAATTTTAATTTTAAAAATATCTTTCAGCCAATGGTAATGACAGCAAGAAGTTCAAGGGAGAAGATAAAATGGATGGGGCCCCTTCCCGTGTACTTCATATTCGAAAATTACCTGGTGAAGTGACAGAAACAGAAGTTATTGCATTAGGCTTACCTTTTGGTAAGGTAACTAACATCCTGATGCTGAAAGGAAAAAATCAGGTATACTTCTTTTAGGGCTAACTATTTTAAGCCTCATACTTTTCATCAGGTTTGAAAAACTAAGAAATTGAGACCCTAGAGATTGATATACCCTAGAAGAGCAGCAACCTAGTTATAATTTAGTTGATCACTATCTGAGAAGACAGTGAATACAAAGGGTTTGTTATAGAGATTGAGATTGTGGAATAATATAAAAGAAAGAAATTTTGTATTAAGTAATTAATACTTTAAGACTACAGAGGATAGAACCTCTGGTAGTAGGCCATCTGATACCTAAAGTTTGATTATAGGGCACAACAGGGGAATTTAAGAAGTTAAAAGACAAATTGATCATACCAACGTAATCCTCTGTCTTCTTAAATTCCCAGAGAAGTTTGTTTCTAAGCATTGCATTTAGAGATACACCTAATACCTGGTGTGAGAACTAAAGTTACCGATGCCTGAGTTAATAACAAAAGATTGTCCCTAAAGCAGGGCTAGCAAAATCTGTTAGGAAAATGGTATTTTAAAAAAACTCTTGGATGTCAGTTTCCCAGAACTCAAGTTATCACTTCTCTTAGTAATCTGCTGATACTGAATTTCAAATAATATTCTAAATTGTTTCTATACTACATTATAACTGTTAATTTAAATCAGTTTTATTTAAAATTCAGAATGCAGAAAGATACTTCAGTTTGACTCATTATATTCTTTACTTTATAACAATGAAATTATTTTGGCAATGACAAGTTTAAATTTTGACTTTACTGGCTACATTTTTGGAGAAATTAGTATTATTATTATTTGCTAGTCAATGGGTTAAGTGACTTGCCCAGGGCCACTCAGCTAGTAAGTGTTAAGTGTCTTAGGCTGGATTTCAGCTCAGGTCTTCCTGACTCCAGGGCTGGTGCTCTATCCACTGTGCCACCTACCTGCCCCTTAGGGAAATTATTTGAAAATACTTTACATAGAGAGTTAAAGTTCTGTCAATACAATTTGCAGTTTTTAGGTGCCCAGTTTTGAAATGTAATGTGTGGAGTTATGTAAATGGGAACTAAGATGTATTTTGTGGAAGACTGCTTTGTTAGTTAACATGTACTATGTTGTTATTGAAGCTTGTTTGAAGATAATTCAGAATTCAAAAAAAATTTTTTTCCCACCATAGGCATTTTTGGAACTAGCTACAGAAGAAGCAGCTATTACTATGGTTAATTACTATTCTGCTGTGACACCTCATCTTCGAAACCAACCCATATATATCCAGTACTCCAATCATAAAGAATTAAAGACAGATAATACATTAAACCAGGTATATATATATATATATATATATATATGTGTGTGTATATGTATGTTTGTGCATATATATGAATTTAAATGTGTATGTACCTTATGATATTAAGAATATAACAAAAAGTAAGTAGATATGAAATAGGTTTTTAGAAGATCCCATTTTAAAGATATTTTGTACAGATGTGCCCCACTATTAAAAACTTGATGCAGAAAAAAAAAATCATACGTAACTTAGTAGGGAATAATTATTGTAGCGAGAGAAACTTGTGTGTTTACACTTGATTTGTAAATATTTGCTGTACGCGCCTTTCATAAATATGTCTTAAAACGAGTGGAACTTATAGTTTCAAATTGTTTATCAACTTATAAAAGTCCACCAAATTAAATTCCTTTTTTTCTTAGTTTTTACTTTGTTCTTCTAATGAATTATAAGGGCCAAATGATTTTCTTCTTTAAAGTGTCATAGAAGTTAAGCTCTTATTCTCAGCTTAGTAGCTTCATAATTTGATGTGTTGTACATTATGCATTTGGGTACTGTGAATATTTTTAGAGAATCTAAAATTCTGAAATATTTTTGTTGTTATATACTTACCAAGCCATCAGTATTTTATTTCTGCTTGGGCGTTATTGTGTTTTATTTCTGCTTGGGCATTATAAGATAACCAATGTAAAAACTCACATTATGTTGTTATTATAAGGATATTCTATTATGTTTCTTGGAGCATATTGATAGATGAATTATTTAATATTTGGGAAATGCTTTGATACTCTTTTTTCATGTTCTAAGGTTTTTTGAAAGAATTTAGATTTGATGTTTTGAAATTTGCAGAATGAGCATGTTGTTTCCACCTGGTTGTTTTAATTTGAAATAATAAGCAGTAATTAATTAAATAGGACTTACTTAATTATTAATATAAACTCTCCATGTGAACACTGTTGCCAGTGCTTTAAATGAGAAATATGTTATCAGGTTTGCTTCTGACTGTATTTCACCTTCATTTCTCACAGTAAAGTTCCTGTTAAAGATTCATTATTTCCCTAACAAAAAGAATTGAGTGTTTATTAGATTTGGTCTTGAATGTGAATAGAAGCTATTATTACTTTAAGATTAGTATAGCAAGATTCAAAAAATAGTAATAGATAAAACAAGGAAACAGTTTTAAAGTTCACACCCAGAAGAGCAATAACAGGATATGAGTTTAGTATTTTCTTCAAAGAATAAGAAAGAAGCGTTGGCCAATAAGTTATATGCTAATGTGTCTTAGTGCTTGTTCTTTGTATATTTAAGTCTGAGCAGACTAACACCACTTTTTCTCCTTCCAGTCCTTTCAGTCTTTTTGTACCAACCTCTGTCTTCCTACCTCCACATCTATCACTCTACCCTTATGGCCTCAGATATTTTAGCACCTGGGTTCACAATCCTTCTCTTTATTTCCTTCCTTGCTATCATCCTCAGGGACCTCACCCTATTGCAGATAATTGTCCCACTCTCAAGATTCTGAATTGCAAACTTTTACTTTCCAATCATAGTTTCCTGTCCTTTATTCTTTCTAACATAAAGTATGTTCTTCTCTCTCATTTCAGTTCATATGCCTTTGATCCCTCATTTTCTCCATTCCATCGCCTCCACTCTCTTCTGTACAGCACAGTGGACAGAGTACTGCACCTAGAATCAGGACGAATTGAGTTCAGATTCCATTCCAATCTGATAAACATTTATTAAATTTTATTAAGTGTCTGATACATGTTATGCACTGTGCTAAGCACTCAATTAATTTAAAAAAAAAAACAGTCCCTGCCCTCAAGGAGCTTGCAATCTAAAAGAGGAGACAACATGCAAAAGGAAGCAGGAAAGTGAGTGTTGGAGGCTTGGAGAGAGATAGGACACCAGAGGGTACTTCTTGTTTTATGGAGTTGAAATGAGGCAGAGCAACAGATGCAGAGTGGAGTGAACTGAGAGTACATTTTTGCCCTCTAAAATAAAGACATTGACAGGAGTTTCATAGTCTGTCTTCCAGCTCTTCAATCAGTGCCGAGGGAGGTTGTGTCCATCAAGGCTTGAGTTGGCAGCACTCTGTCCTGGGAGGGGCATCTTGTTCCATGGAGTTGAAAAAGACAGAACAACCCTAGACACTAGCTATGTGATCTTTAGCAAGTCAGTTAACCTCAGTTTGCCTCAGTTTCATCATCTGTAAATGGTGATAATATCATCTACCTCCCAGGATTGTTCTGAGGATCAAATGAGATAACTATTATTATGGCAAGGCAGTAGGGTTAAGTGACTTAACCCAGGGTCACACTACTAGTTAAGTGTCAAGTGTCTGAGGCCAGATTTGAACTCAGGTCCTCCTGATTCCAGGGCTGGTGCTCTATCTACTGCACTACCTAGCTGCCCCTGAAATGAGATAATATTTACAAAGCACTTAGCAAACCCTTTTATACCAAACCTTGAAACTGACTGACTACTTTATTAATATATTAGCTGCCGTTCTAGAATCTCTTATCCTCGTTGGACCTTCCTCCATTACTAGCCTTCTACTCTGAATAACCCTTACTGTGTCCAATTCTTTTGTTAGTGTTCCAGGGTTGCTAAACATTCTTGGAGAAAGTTATGAAGAAGTGCTGATTTCACCCAGTATTCATTTGTGGTACAGAACCTTAAGTGTAGGCCATCTCTGTTGCTTGGCAATGTTCCTTTACTTTTATTGACACCCAGTCTTCTTCACAGCAAAACCTACCCATCCTCACCCTATCTCCCACACATATTTAAAACATAAATTTGTCTAAGAAATTTGAAGCCAGATTTGATGACTACCTCAACTCCTTCCTCTGCTTCTCAAAACTTAACAGTATTATTACCCTTTCTTTCTTCCATTCCCTCTATCTTACAGAAAGTGTTATTCCTCCTTTTTGCCTATTATAGGACCCTCTTTAAAAGCAAAAGTGACTTTGTTACTCTTCTGCTTAAGAAGATCTAGTGGCTTTCCATTGCTTCTGTAATCAAATATAAACTCCTTTGTTGGGCCTATAAAGCATCTCACAATCTGACTCCAGACTTATCACACTTTACTCTTTTTTCACATACTCTGTGTCCCAGCCAAGCTGTCTTATACTATTATTCATTCATGGTACTCATTTTCCATCTCCCTGACTTTGCATAGACTGTCCCCCATACCTGGTATGTATTCTTTCCTCATCTCCCCCTCTTAAAATTCTCTATTCTCTTCAAAAGTTAGTTCAACCTCCTCCTCCAACATGAATTTTTCCTGATTCATTTGCTCAGTGCTCACACTGCCCCAAAATTTTACCTTTCATTTACTTTGTATTTAGTTATGTGTGTGTTCCATTCCTGTTAGAATGTAAGTTTTTTGAGGGCAGGGACTCTTTACTCCTTTTGTCACCTGCAACTAGCACAGTATTTAATACATAGTAGGTGTTTAATGTTTGCTTGCTGTGGTAAAACTACTCCCTCTACTTTTGTCTTTGCCCTTGATCATATCCCATTCTTTCTTCCAGTAGTGGCGTCTTCTGTCTGCTTCCCATGTTTCTATAAATATTCTTTATTACTTCCATTCCTAAAAGAAGCCTTTACTTGATCCTTCTAACTTTTCCAAGTACTATCTTATCTCCCTCTGGCCTTTCATCGATAAACTCCTTTAAAAAGTTGTCTATATCTAATGCCTTTACTTCTTTATTCTCACTCTTTTCTTAGACTTTTGAAATCTGAATTCCACCTCTGTAATACTTTTTTTCCAAAGTAACTAACGATTCAGTTGTCAAATCCAGCCATCTTTTTTCAGTTTTCTTTTTGGAAATCTGTGCAGCATTTGTCATCGTTGTACTCTCTGCTTCCTTCTGGAAGATTCTTTCCTCTTTTGGCTAGTTAAATAACATAATCTCCTGGTCGTCTTCCTATTTCTTTCAACTGCTTCTTCACTAGTTCATTGTCTCTGTAAGCCCTTAAAGTGATCATTAACTTAAATTTGTTCTTGCCTATGTTTTCAGTCTCTCTATCTCATTATCACTTGATTTTTCATATTTAAATATTTCTCTTGATTTCTGGGAGGTCCCCCCACCCCCACTCCCCAGGGGGTTGGGGGGAGAGAATCTCTCATTGACCAGAGTGGGATCATTAGCATGTGTTTATGTATACATACATACTATATGTGTATATACACACATGCAGATAGATCGATAGAGATAGTTGTGTATCATGTATGTGTATATGTGTACATGTGTGTGTGTATACAGATATACACATGTATAGAGATCGTGTACATATGTGTTAATATATTTATATACGTATGTGTACACAGAAGTCCCTTAGCCTGCCACTTTGCTACTCCATCCTTACCTCTTCACTCCCCCCAAAATCTATTCATATGGAATCCCTTTACAACCATAGTTTTGTAGCTTCATTCCCTCTACACTAATTAATACACATGCAATGTGGTAGACTAGAGTTAGGCTCAGAGGGCAAGTAACTTTTCAGGCTTCATTTTCTCAATCTCTAAAATAATGAGTTTGGATTAGATGACTTCTAAGGGCCCCTTCTAGTTTTATATTCTATGATCATATAATCCGTATTTAAAGCCCTTACCATTTTCCCATGGTTCTGTAGCTTCTTCTCTAAGTGTTTACAGCCCATCTTCTCCTAGATGTCACACCAGGACCTCAAATGAAGATAAATTACACTGTATCTATTCGTGAATTCAACTTTGGTAGCAAAATGTGTTGGACAGTGTGGATATATAGCATTAGAATGCTGTTAAATTGCTCGTGGATGTTAAGTTAGGTTCTCAAGTAAATATATATAGGAAAATAAAGAAAATATACTGTCAAAGTGAAATAGAATGCTTTTCTTAAAAAAATGTCTTCTGTTTTAATTTTCAGCGTGCTCAGGCAGTTCTCCAGGCTGTGACAGCTGTACAGACAGCAAATACCCCTCTTAGTGGCACTACAGTTAGTGAGAGTGCAGTAACTCCAGCCCAGAGTCCAGTACTTAGAATAATTATTGACAATATGTACTATCCTGTAACGCTTGATGTTCTTCATCAGGTAAGCTCTTCTTATTTGTATAAGTAAGTAACATACAATATTTATAATAGATGTGATTGTAATTTGTTGTTTTGATATGACAGATATTTTCCAAGTTTGGTGCTGTATTGAAGATAATCACATTTACTAAAAATAATCAGTTCCAAGCTTTGCTGCAATATGGTGATCCAGTAAATGCACAACAAGCAAAATTAGTAAGTCCAGATCTTTTTAAAAACTTTTAAAAATCAATTTTATTTTATTTTCCATTCAGAATTCTCTCTTTCCTCCCCCTCCTCTGCTCATTGAGAAGGCAAGAAAAACAAAACGCATTACAAATATGTATAGTCATATAAAATAAATTCCATTAGCCATATCCAAAGAAAAAGAAAGAAAAAGCAGTATGCTTCAGTCAATATTCTGAGTCTTTCAACTTTGTCTGGGATTGATAGCATGTTTCATCGTAAGTCCTTTAGAATTGTGCTTGGTCATTGTGTTAATCAGAGTTCCTAAGTCTTTCAAAGCTAATTATCTTTACAGTATTGTTGGTATTTTATAACTTGTTCTCTTAGTTTTTCACACTTCATTTTACATCAGTTCATAGATGTCTTTGCAGATTTTTCTGAAACAGTCCCCTTTATTGTTTTTTATAGATCAGTAGAGGGGAAGAAAGGGAACAAGCATTTATATAGTGCCTACTATGTGTGTATGCACTACTGTGTAATTCAGGTACTGTAATGCTAAGCACTTTTTATAGATATGTCATTTGAGCCTCACTACAACCCTTGGAAGTAGGTGTTGTTATCACCCCCATTTTGCGGTTGAGGAAGCTGAGGCCTGGAAAGGTTAGGTTACTTGCCCAGGGTCACACCGCTAGTAAGTATATGAAGCTGGATTTGAACTTAAGTCTTCCTGGCTCCAGGATACATACTGTATCTTCTTTGTCACCAGGAGCCTCACTACATCATTAACTCTGCCTCAGTAGTTTTTCATCATTTTCATGTATCATAATTTGTTCAGCCATTACCCAGTTGATTGATATCCTCTCAGTTTCTGATTCTTTCTCACCACAAAGTCCAGATTTGTACATATGGATCCTTTTCGTTTTTCCTTTGATCTGTTTGGGGGATAGACCTAGTAACAATCAAATATTATTTTATATACCTACGTACAGTATAGGATGTCCCACCATGGTATAATACTATATAGTTAAAACTAATTAAATCAATCAATTAAATTGTCTAATTAAAACTAATTTAACTCTTAAAATTATACTTTAAGTGATTTCCTTAAGTAAAAGCACTGAAGTGTATTCATAATGTGAATAAAAGTTGCTTCTATCACATGAGTTTAGTAATCAAAAAAATCTGAACAAATGAAGTAGATGTACATTATTTAAAGATTTCTATAAATTTTTGTCAAGTTTAGAAGTGTATATCACTTAAAGGTGATACTGTAGGCTTCACTGTATGAGCATTGCAAGTAAGGTTTCCCATCGATACCATCAAGTCATATCTCCTTATTCTGTAGCTTAAGAAACAGAATCCTCTTACAGAAAGTGGACCCATAAAGCTCCTAAGTAGCTGAGACAAGATTCAAATACACTTCTCCAGTTCCCTCCCCAGGATCATCGAATCTCAGAGTTGGAGGGAACCCAGAGGCCATTTAGTCCAAAGCAATTACAAGGACAAGAATCACTTCCTTGGAGTAAATGATGGGTAGTCACTTAACCTTAACAGAAGCCCTTTCATGGGGGTGAGGGCACCTAAGGTGCACATTCTGTTTTTAAATAACTATAATGGGGGGGACCATTTCCTAATTTCAAGACTTATTTTGCATCCTTGTAATTTCTTCACATTACTCAATGATTGTCTATCTCAGGCAGACACAAGTTTAATACCTTTTCCAGTTGATCCACTTTTATATATCTGAAGACAGCTATCATATTCTCCTTGAATCAACTTTTCTCTAGTTTAAAAATTCCCAATTTCTTGAACTGATCCTCATACGGTATTTCTAGTTGCGCCTCCATCTTATATATGTAGAGTTGCTTTTTTAAACCCAAATGCAAGATTTTACATTTATCTGTATTCAATTTCATCTTAATTTGGCTCATTGTTTTAGCCAGTGGAAGTGTTTTTATATCATGTGTCAATATTAGCTGTTTCTCCCAACTTTGATCATCTAAAAATTTGATAAACACGACACAGGCAACCCAAGGCCAAGCATATATTCTTTTTGATTCTCCTGGAGTCCTTACAGGTTGCCATTGAACCATTCATTAATGGCTAATCTATAATCTAGATATTCAACTAGTTTCAAATCTTCCTTACTCTGCTATCATTTGGCCCACAACTTTTCCAAAAGAATAAAATGAAAGACTACCAAATGCTTTGCTTAAATTTAGTTAAACTGTATCTGTAGGATTCCCCTGATCTATTCGTTTAGCAACCCTGTCAAGAAAAAAGAAATAGTCTGACGTGACTTGCTTGTAATGAAGCTGTGTTTCATTAAATATCCATCAATAATAGATCTAGAATTTTTTTAATAATCCCAGCCCCCCCAACTGTTTAAATTATACTCTATTTATTTGAGAATTAGGATTATATTTGCTCTTTTGCCATCCTGGGATAACCTTCTGTGTTCCCTATTCCATAGGTCACTAAAATGGTTCAGTAGTCATATCTGGCAGTTTCCTTAGGACCTTGAAATGTAGCTATCATTATTAACTTTAGTATCAACTTTCTATTAACCACATTTGTTATTTATTTTTGTTTTCTGAACTTTATCATTCCTAACATTGTTCTTACAAAATCATTCCATGCTTTTATATTTGACTTTCATTACCTATCTGCCCTTGCTATCATTTCTTTTAAAAATGCAAGGTGATATAGTGAAAAGAATCCTGGATTTGGAGTCAAATGATGGATCTGGGTTCAAATTTGATATCTGCTGTTTAGCTATGTGATCTTTGGAGATTACACCTAATCCCCCTGGAGTTCAGTTTTTTCACCTGTAAAATTAGATGAATCAAGTAGATGGCCTCTAAAGCCCCTTGCAGCTCTAAATCTATGGTTCTTTTAGATTTCAATGTCCCCTCCAGCTTTTCCAGCTCTTGAATCTGTGATGCCTGGATGAGTCAGTAGGAGACAATGGGTTTCAGTAATATATTTGGCACATTTAGGGAACATCTGTATGTCAAAAATACAATAATGTGATTCTGAAAAGTAAAATCACTTGTTTACTTGCTTTTTAAAGATTTAAGTTGCAAGAATTATTCACTTTTATTTTTACTCATCTTTGGGGATAAGTGACTCTTAAAAATAGTTACTCCATAGTACAGTAACAAGAACACTGAATTGGTGTCAGAAAACCTAACTTTCAGACCCCAGAATTAATACATGTGACCTATCTGGCATTTAGCAGATCAGGCTCTCTGAGCCTCAGTTTCCTCATATATAAAATGAAGATCTTGGATAAGATGACTGTTAGAATATCTCCTATCCCAGTTCTGTAATACCTGATTTCTGGATTCTATTAAAAATACAAACCAGTATCATGAGATTAGATGTATACATCACTCTCCGCTTCCCTTCTTTATTGAATTCCTACCCATATTTTTAAAGGCCAACTCAAAATACTCCTCTGTGACACCTTTTCTAAACCCTCCTGAGCTGATAATCCTTTCTCCTTGTACCTCATGTAACTCTTTGTTGACTCTCAAGCACATTTTATGTAATATGTAATTACAGTATATATTAGTTTCTTATGCCCCTTCTTAGTTTTTAAACTCCATGAGGGAAAGAACCTTTTTTTAAAGCAAATCTTCATAATTGCATAATTGCTTAGCATTCTGTTTATATTCAGTAGGCACTTAATAAGTGTTTTGATTTTTTTGTCATTCTTGTTAACCAGTTTCTATTTTATAATATAGTTATTTGTATCTATAGTGTATTCCTTTATCCTGTGTCACTATCAGACTGAGAGAGGGACATTTGAAACTTAATTTTATCTTAAGTTTTGTTATAGTTCCTGGGGGGAAAGTAAATTGGATTACCATTCTTATGTGAAGTCTAGTTGAGTTGTTTTCAGTTAAACAGTTTTATTTAATTCGTTAGTCTATTTATGTTAGCAGTATCTACCTACATCTTTGTTTTTGATAATAATAGCTAACTTTTATATTGCACTTTTAAGGTTTGCAAAGTGCTTTACATGTATTATCTCATTTGATGCTCTCAACAACTCTTTCAGGTAGGTGCTTTCATTATCCTTTAACAGATGAGGAAACGGAAGCTGTCATTCAACAGCATTTCTCAAACTTGTGATATGTGCCAGGCACTGGGGATAGAAAGAAGGGTGAAAGACCATGCTTTCTCTCAAGGAGTTTATAGTCTCATGGGAGAGACAACATACAAACTATTGTGTACAAACAAGATGTATACAGGATAAATCATGTAGAGTCAACAGAGGGAAGACAATAGCGTTAATGTGAATTAAGAAAAGGCTTCCTAGAAAGAATAAGTGTCTTGCTTGCCTATTGTCACATTAGGCTAGTTAAGTGTCTGAGGCATGAGTCAAACTCAGAAGTCCACTTACTCTGTCCTCTGTGCCACCTAATTGCCTCTGTTAATCGTGCTGCTTATTATCTTCTGGTTAAATAACCTGAACTTACAGGATTTAAGAATGCTGGTGTAGTCCATAGTTACACATTATTATGTATATATGTAATATGTAGATATTGTAATAGAAAATGCGGTATCTCTGTTCCTGTGTATAGTTGGAATATTTTGAAGTTTTTAATTTGTTAGTTTCCTGGTCCTCAACCAAGAATTAGTATTGTGAAAACGGCACTGAATTTGAAGTAAAAAGATCTGTGTTTTGAGTCTCATCTCTCAGTCAGCAGGCATTTATCAAACACTTCTAATGTGCTAAGTAGCGGGGATTCAGAGAAAGGTAAAAATCCATCTCTGCACTTAAGGACCATAAATTTTAAAGGGAGAGATGACATGTAAAAAACTATGTGTCTGTCCATCTGTCTCTCTCTCTCTATATATGTATATTTATATATATTATATGCCCAGAATCCTGTACCTCCCCCGTAGTCGTGGGGTGTTCTTTTGACACCAGAGGCCATGGAGCTCTAGGTTGATTATAGGTAGTAATTTAATTGTCATTATGAATAATTACAAAACAGAGGCAATCTTTGGTCTGGGGC